ATTCACATTTGCTTTAAGGTCCGTCTCCTTCAGGTTCTCCTTGTGGTTTGCCTCCCCGTGTTTATCTACATAAGGGCTCATCCAGGTGGGCGGCGTGAAGAATGACCTTCTGGATTTAAAGATTCCCAGGGCCAGCTTGACTTTGGCTAATCTGGTTAGAGCAGGCTGCCAAGACAAGCTCCGTTGGTACACAGCAGATGGCAAGGGCCCAGCCCCAAAACAAATGGCACTATATCTTTGCCATCCGACGATCCGTCAAAGAGCTCTCTTAGGCTTGGGGATTAAATCTTTGGCTACGTTTTTACTTCCCTGCCACCTTCTGTTTAGGCACCCTGAATTTCTAGTAAACTAACGATAGTTTATGACAGAGAAAGAAAAAGAGAGGGAAGGGGGGGGGGGAGGGGGGGGGGGAATAGATCAACCTTCCTTTGCATGTTTCTCCACACCTGTTGAAGGGAAACTTCCAGGAATTGAGGATTGTGGAACCTGGAGTCCAGGGCAGTAATGGTCATCAAGTTATTTTTCCTTCTGCAAAACTTGGGGCTGAGTTAAACTGGAATTCGCTGCCCTTGGAAATGGGAATGGTCACCGGTGTGAATGACCTCAAAAAAGAAGCGAGTCTTGGAGGATCTGCCTATCAGTGGCTCTAGTAGGGGTGTCACTTCTATACTCTCACGTAGCTTCCAATCCGTCACGACAAGATAATTTCACACACCAGGATCATTTCTTAAATTAAATGACGATAAAGTCGCCGGGGGGAGGGGTTGTTTTAGGTGTTTGGCAGTTCATGGGAAGCCTGTCAAGTCATTAATAAGTCGTAGTGACAAACCACTTGACGGGGAAAGAGGAGTAATTAATTTGACTAAATAATAGCTTGGCCAGGTTCTGCAGGGTTTTTGGCCTTGGGAGTTTCCCACCGAAGAGGTTTCAGAACAAAAACGAAACAGGCTGGAAGAGGGGTGAGATTTGACACTGGCCCTGAGTTAGGATCTGGCATCAGGATTTTGGGCTCACTGAATTACGGTGGCCTCGACTTAAGACCACAAATGCAATGAACATTTCCATTGCTAAGCGCTCCGGTCATTAAAATTGAGTCGTGCCAAAATTTTGCGATCTTTTTTTGCCATGATTGTTAAACAAATCACTGCCGTTGTTAAACAAATCACTGCTGTCATTAAGTGAACCTGGGTTCTCCTGTTGCTTGTGATAAGTCAGCTTGGGGAAAGCCACAATGTCCCTGAGATGCTACAACTGTCAAAAGTACATGCCAGTTGCTAAGTACTCCCAATTTTGATCACGTGACTGTGGGGGATGCTACACTGGTTGGCAGTGCAAGTAGTCATTTTTCTCAGTGCCCTTGTGTCTCTGGTCACTCAACAAACGGATGCAAGTCGAGGATTGCCTGCGTTGTGATTCAGCCAATCTGGAGTGAGGGGTGCTAGCTGCAAAATGGATTTAGAACAGACAGAAGAGGATATTTGTAGCTCAGGATTGAACTGTGGGGGTCCTTGTTGCTCTCTGAGCTGGATGTTTTTTTTTCTTGGAGACATTTCATTACCCAGCTAGGTAACATCATCAGTGCTAATAAGTGGGGCTTGCTCTCTGTTTATCTACAATAGCTCTGAGCTCAGTTGTTTTCTTGCAGACGTTCCATTACCCAACTAGGTAACATCACTGGTAGCACTGATGATGTTACCTAGCTGGGCAAGAAAACCACCAAACTCAGAGAGCAACAAAGACCCCACAATCCTCCTCCTCTCCACACACCCCAGTTCCTTCTAGCACTGATGATGTTACCTAGCTTGGTAATGAAATGCCTGCAAGAACTTGGCCTCCCCCTTGAAGCTTGCAAAGGGTTTGAGAGCGACTGGAAGGGACACGGCCAACGTTTTCAGCCCTTCTAGAGGAACTTTGGAGAGAGGCGAGAGAACCAAACCGTTCTCTTGCTTTATTTCTCTCCCCACCTCCCCAAAAAGGATGACCCTGGCTTTGATTGGCATCACGAGGGATGGTTGGCCAAGTTTGCCTTCAGGAGGATCCCTTTTTCTGAAGGGTTGATCAGGACGAAGCCCCTACGACGAAGCCTTCCACCCAGAGGCTGTGGAGATGGGGTTTCTCAGCCCCTCCGAAGCTGCCAGCAAGCGCCTGGCAGGAACCCTAATGCTTCCTGACAGCCATATTTAAAACCTCTCTGCCTCCCTTCATTTGTTCGGTTGGAAAACTCGCCTCGCGCACGTTGCGCTCTCGGCGGCAGAAAGTTCTTTCCTTCTATTATTGGCATTGATGGGAAGACACCACCTGATATTTCAATGATTCAGAAAGAACAATGGAGTGTGTTTCCATAAAACCCCCAGGAGATGCTTGGTGGAGGGAAAGAATAACGGCAATTAGTGCTTAGATTTCCACTTGTTTCTGACGCCCATTGTGTTGTGCCTTCAAAGAAACAAGTAGTGATTATGCTGGGGAGGATGTTTTTCTGCTCCGTTTCAAATTCTCGGTCCTCATGCGCGACTCATTTCTATTTAGCCTATTTAGTCAGCATCTCAGAGGAGGAGGAGGAGGAGGAGGAGGAGGAGGAGGAGGAGGAGGAGAATGGAGCGGGCACTTAAATTTAGGACCATATTCAATCGTATTTGCCACCCCAGAGAGAGGAGAATCAAGAAGCCCCTTCAGATGTCGAGGGCGCTTAATACGGGGTGGGGGTTGGTGTCTGGCACTCATGCCAGAAGGTTGTGTTCCTCTCCTGTAGAGGAAGATTGACAGGGGAAGGCGGGAGCTGGCTTCGCACAACCCGGTTGATTGATTAGGTACCGTCAGGATTGACAAGGGGAGACAAAACCTGGGTTTACATAACCTGATTGATTGATTAGGCACCGTCAAGTCGGTACGGAGCCTTAGCAACCACCTAGATGGATTTTCTCCATGATGCTCTGTCTTCCACCTGCTCCTTCACATATACTCATCACTGAGTTGTTGTTGTTGTTGGTTGACCTCTTCTCCTTCTTCCTCCTAGGTCAATGGGTTTCTTCAGGTATTATATGGCTTTCTTGGATAGAAAGTTGATTATGTGCTCTTAGCAACCAGATTGCCGGATCTTCTTCGGGAGGATCTGTTCCTCACCTGACCCTTTGGGCCTCCCTACGTTGCGCCAATTGCCACTGTGGCTGAGATCCTCCACCTTTCAGTCATCCTTCTTTTTCCTTCCACCTTTCCCAGATTAGAACCTTCCCCTGAGAGATAGGCCTTCCCATAGCACGACGAGTCTGCATTGAACCACGTTATGGCTGAAAGTGGGATAAACCTGCAAATGTGGCCTCTCGTTTATGGTTTAAAGCTGGGCATGCCATGCAAAGAGCTAACCTTGATGCACTTGTTAAAACATGGTAGAGCTGATGGACGTGTGAGGTTTGATCTAGCAGTTCTAAGAGATGAGGAGTTTGCTGTGGACGGAAGAGAAGAACGTTCTTCCCATCTTTGACCAAGGAAAGGCAGAAACTGGAATTCCGCAGTTAGAATCCAACTTTGGGGCAGAAAGGCATTATGACTCGTCTTGACAGGCTGCTTAGGTTGAGGGCACCTCTGTCCCTCTAAATCTCTCCATCCTTCCCTCTAACCCACCCGTTCAGATGCTCCCCACAAACCGATTTTATAAATAATCTCGTGGCGACAGCCCTGGATGGGGGCTGAATCTCTCAGCCCGCCGTGTTCACGTCTCGTTGGCATTAATAACAGACTCCATTGTGTGCTCTTCTGCCATTTCTTTTAAGTGCAATCATTCTGAGAAAAGGGCATCTCCTTAATTACAGGTCTGCTTAATTGCAGCTCTGTGGAAGCTCATTTGCTCCAAGGAGCCCACATGGCAGCATTGAAGCATTTGGACAGATTGCTTGCTTTCCAGCTGCTGCGCATTTGTTCCCAATCTTGGTGGCTCCTCCGTTTCGTTTGCAGAAACTTAGGACTTCATGGCCTGGCCTTTTCTTCATTTGATCTCCCTTAGGGCCCAGTTGGGTAAACAAGGCTGAGGCAGAAGGAGAAAAAGTCATCTAAAGATTTAATGAGTACACTTACACGTGACTCACAACCAAGTTCATTATTTTAGTGGATGAACCGAAGCAAAGGTTTCCCTGTCCAGTCGTGTCCAACTCTAAGGTGCGGTGCTTATCTCCGTTTCTTGGCCGAGGGAGCTGTCATTGTCTGAAGACATTGTCCATGGTCATGTGGGTAGCATGGCTATACGCCAAAGGCACATGGAACACTGCCTTCCTGCCAAAGTGGTACCTATTTATCTACTCTCATTTTTGTGCTTTTGAACTACTAGCTGGGCAGGAGCTGGAGCAAGGAACGGGAGCTCACCCTGTTGTGCAGCACCTGGGTCTGGAATGTGGGCTGCCAGCTTTCCAACTGACAAGCTCAGTGTCTTTAACTACTGAGCCATCGCGCCCCTTACTTTGGGGGCTGTAGAGATAAAAAGACACCTCAATTATCTTAACTTCCGTTCTTTGTGGGTTTTTTTTTTTTTTTTTTGCAGCAATGGAAGGTGTGCCTTTTATGATCTCAGAGAAGTTTGCCTGCGCTTCCGAAGGGGTGAGTTTCCCATATTTATTCATTTATCCGTGTAATAGTCCTCTGGAGTTACATACTTAAACTCCTGGCACGTAACCATTGAAGAACATCACCCGTTCAAATACTCCAAAATCCATAGTCTCATCCATTGCTTCAAGTCCCCCGTGCTCCCTTGCCTTCCAAAAGCTCTGCAGAAAATTTCACCTTGAAATTTTGAGAAGCCATGAAGTTGAATGCCTTGGGTGGGTGAGCTCGGCTGTCACTTTGTAATCTCTGTGTTGTCTTCGTCCACCCCTCCTTGAATCTTCTTGGATGTCCTTGAAAGGAACATCCGCTTCTTAGGATGCTCGGTCACTTCCCAAGCTGAGGTGCTGGCCTGATGCCTCTCTTGGCTCCCACGTGACAATGAGGTGCATGATGATATCTGGCTTTCCTCCCCTGCCTGCTCTCCTTCACTGAAGCCCCAGTTCTGTCTCCAAGCAATGGACCGCATCCCTTTTGCCACTGGGTACCACCATACTGCTTCCCGATCCTGGACTACCGTTCCCATGACCTTGCAGACTTGGAGCGGGGGGCGAGGGGGGGAGAGATGGAAGTGTTAGTCCAGCCGACCATGCCAACGGAGACAGGAAAGGCTGGCTTGGATTCCTAAGATTTGAGTGGCACATTTCTGTCTTTTCCTGTTTAGATGCAGCCTGTAGACCTCCTGGGAATCACAATCAAATCTCTGGCTGAAATTGAAAAAGAGGTGAGGGTTGCTTTTTTCCTGCCATACTCTAGTTCCAGGGATGTCATTGAGGGCCACATCAGGGCTGTGGTTGACCCTTAGGAGGGGCGGAGAACTGGGTGGGTGTGGCCAATAGGGTAGGCATGGCCAGCTTGACACCACTCCCCCCAAATTAGGGCGTGCGTCGGAACCCTGACAGTTGGCATGTTTCCTCTTGGCATTGGGTAGACCGGGCCAAAGGGATGCGGGCCAGAGCCTTACATTTTCCAGGACAGTTCTGCAGGCCAGATCCGACCACAGGCCTTGCGTTTGACACCCCTGCTCTAGTCAGAAATCTTGGAATGAAACCGCCAGAACTGAGAGGAAAAGAACCCGAACTAGTCGGAGGGATCCAGCCGAGAAATGAAGGAGAGATTTCCTGAAGGTGAGAACAATTAATCAGCGGAACAACTTGCCTCCAGAAGTTGTGGATGCTCCAACACAGCCGTTTGTCTGGAATAGAATAGGGTCTCCTGCTTGAGCAGCGGGGGTGGGCTAGAAGACCTCCAAGGTCCCTCCCAGCCATAGGATTCTATGTTCTATGTAATTTGATTCAGATCTTCTGGGATGCTGCGTGTTGATTTCCAAAATCTCTTCCTCCCTCCACCACTTTAGCCCTCTAGAGCACAGTCTAACGTAATGGTCTTTAAGTGAAATATATTTGCTAACTGGCAACATTTCAGAGGGGTTTTTTTCCCTCTCCCTCCCCCTCTCTCTCAATATCTTTGAGTTGAGAATTTGGGTTATCTTCCCCTCCCCACCCCCCCTTATCCCCCCAATGACTGAAGAGATCGGTCTTGATTATAATTGCTCTTACCCGCTCATATCTAATTTGTGTCTTTTTAAGTGTTAATTAGTAAACAGTTTGAGCTGACATCTTTATGCCTTGGCGTGTTTGAAAAATGGCTCGCGGGGTTTCCATTCGCTCTGGGCCCATGCCACGGGCTGCTTCGTGGTGTTGGCGTGAAATTAACAGCGACGTGGGCTCTCGGTTTGATTTAAAAAAAAAAAAAGATCTTACAAAGGATTTTGTAGAAACACTCCCGGTTGTCTCCTGATTTTTATTTCTTGGAGAGAAGGGGCTGGCAAATGGATGCCCCCGAGTCCTTCCTGTACTGTGTATCTTTGCAAAGCAGTTTGCAAACGGATCCTCATTTCCTTGATAAACTTAGCAGCAAACAACCCCGTGTCTATCTGAAGGAAGGTTTTAAAAAGAACAGAAATTGCTCGATCTCTTCTCTTCTGCTGCCCTCTATCTTTCTTTTGTTTCAGGGTATAACTAGGTATCAGTCATAATTTTCTTTTGAAGTATAAGGAGGAGGGGAGGGAATAAGAACCCCTAGCATTCATTTATGATCGCACAGTGCCATCTACTAGTCTTATCAGTGATTGCATCGGGAGGAGCAAAAAAAATAATGGTATAGGGAAGAGGGAGGGAGGTGAGAGAGAGAGAGAGAAGGAAGAAAGATGAGAGAGGAGGGAGGGAGGGAGAAGACGGGGGGAAGGAGGGAAGAAAGGAAAGAGGGAGATGGGAAGGAGGGAGGGAGGGAGGGAGGAGGTAAAGGGGAGGAAGGATTAGAAGGGAAAAAAGAGGAGAGAGAGGAAGGAAGGAAGAGGAAGAGAGTGAAGGAGGGAGAGAGTGGGGAAGGGAAGAAAAGAGAGAGAGGTTAGAAGGGTAAGGGAAAAGAAAGAAAAGGTAGATGAGAGAGAAAAGGTAAGGAAAACCTTCTATAACTAAGGATTTCGGAGGTTTGATAGTTGCGTTAAGGTACCCCTGAGTAAATGAGAAGACAGAATTTAAACGCCCTCTACGCCATCCTGATGCTTAACATATTAAGTTATGGGCGGGGGCGGGGAGGGGAAGAATAAGAGAATGGATAGCATCAGTCAATCATTTCATCCCAAGACATTAAAATGTATTTATTGCATGCTCCCCTGCGCTGTTTGTCCTAGGAAGGCATGTTATTTTTGATTGGTCTACTGCTGCACTTGGACCACCAGGCGGCACCATTGCCACGTACACTTTGCACTGCCTTTTCGCCTTCGATGAAAAGTTTGCAAGTGTGCAACCCCACGTCCTGCTCTCCCCTTCGCATGACACAGGGGAGGCTTTTCTCTGATTGGTTGGTTGGTTGATTATGTGCCTTTGAGCTGGAATAGGATGATAGGTTATTCGCAGGGGCCTTCACACTTGACAGCTTGAAGACTTGTGGACTTCAACTCCCAGAATTCCTCCTCCTCCAGCCATGTTTGCTCGGGAATTCTGGGAGTTGAAGTCCGCAAGTCTTCAAGCTGTCAAGTGTGAACACCCTTGCGTTATTCTGCCATCAGGTTGGTACCAAAGGTGGTTACCTGGATGGATTTTCTCCAAGATGACCTTCAGTCCTTCCACCTCCACCTTGAAATGTGGAGTCCTTGGTACTGAGCTCGGTTCTTTCCCAGCATTAGGAACCTCTCTAGGAATTGTTCGACTTACCCAGATAAAATTGCTGGATTGATTGATTGTGCGCCAAGAAGTCAATGTTGACTCTCATAGATAGACAAGATGTTCTGTCCCTAATGTTCGGTGTCCTTCCAAGTTTACACTCATCGTCTTATAGCTGAGTCCCTCCCCCTTGCTGCTTCCCATCCTCTTCTACCGTTCCCAAACAGCTGGGCCTTCGCAATGTGTCTGAAGTAGGACAATTTAACATAATAACAATTGGAAGGGACCTTGGAGGTCTTCTAGTCCAACCCCCTGCTCAAGCAGGAGACCCTATCCCATTCCAGACAAATGGCTGTCCAGTCTCTTCTGGAAAGCCTCCAGTGATGAAGCACCTACAACTTCTGAAGAGAAGCCATTCCATTGATCAATTGTCCTCACTGTTAGGAAGTTTAATTCTGGGTTGCTTCCCTCCTTGACTAGTTTCCATCCGTTGCTTCTTGTCCTGCCTTCTGGTGCTTTGGAGAACATCTTGACTCCCTCTTCTTTGGGGCATCCCCTCAAATATTGGAAGGGCTGCCCCAAAGAAGAGGAGGCCAACCTCTTTGAACCAGTTGAGGGCTCTGGATGGATGAGTTCGACGACGGTGCGTTGGTTGGTTGTTCTTGGCTGCCCAATCGTTCACCTCTGGCTTTTTGTCTCCTGCAGTATGACTACAGCTTCCGGACAGAGCAGAGTGCTGCGGCCAGACTGCCTCCCAGCCCCACCAGATGCCAGCAGTATCCCCCTTCCTGAAATCTCTCGACTCCTTGGAGTAAAAATGCACACGTACTACTGAGCAGCGAAAGGATTTTCTTCCTCCTCCTCTTCCTCACTTTGTAACCTTCCCCCCCTCCCCCAACCCTTCCCATCCCTGACGAGCAGTATTAACGGAGGCCCTTCCAGGAAAAGACACAGGAAGCCGTGATTTTTGTCTGTCCCCCATCCTCCTTTATACAAAACAACTGGATAGCATTTCTCTCTCTCTCTCTCTCTCTCTCTCTCTCACTCTCACTCTCACTCTCACACACACACACACACACACACACACACACTCTCACTCACTCACTCACTCTCACTCTCACTCTCTTTCTCTTTCTCTTTCTCTTTCTCTCTTTTTTTATATATATATATACCAACTTGTCCTTGCTGGTTGGCAAATCTTGACTCAGCTCCTTGAGTCCATTCCGACAACAGCCCTAACTCTGCAGGTTCCCCCAGGATCATCCCCGCCCGTCATGACTGGAGAGACTTAGATTTCCGTGGAGGACTTCTGTCGGTCCGCTTTTATTTATTGTGGGTTTTTTTGGTGTGTGTGTGGGTGAGGTTTGATCATTGATTCCCTCTGAAGAGCTGCTCCAACTCAGCCGAAGTGTCTTCTACTAAACCCTGGTTTAGTAGAAGGGATATAGACTTTTTCTTCTTCTTCTTAAACCAGAAGAATATCCTTTTTTTACCTGTTGTCTGTTACACCCGGCTGGCTTTATCTGACGTTCCTCAGCTGATCGGAGCTACGAAGGGCCATCCTATATCTCACCAGGGGTGTCACTTTTTCTTCAGCGCTGGTTTCTAAAGGGGTTTTGTGTTGCTTTTACCGCACAACGCACCACCTCCATGCAACGCATGTCATCCTTTGTGGTTCAGAGCTGCTTAAACGGGACGTCTGGCCTGAAACGTCTGGCCTGAAACATCTGGCCTGAAACATCTGGCCTGAAACGGGACGTCTGGTTTTTGGAAACTGTTCTACGAAACCTTTGCCCAAGTGGATGACAAAAGCTATATTTTTCATTGATGGGCAACTTCATTTCTGAGCCTTTAAAAAGAAACAACATGTGATTTATATCTGATCTTTTTTGCAAAAAGAGTCTAGTTCAGGATTTTGTCTGGAAGGTCCAAGAAACCTCCGGGGTCTTTCTGCACGAGCGTTGGACCCCTTCTTCTGTTACAAATAGTTCAATTTAGCAACCGGAGGACCTGTCCATCTAACTGGCCTGCTTAAGGCGAAACAGACCACGATGTGTTCCTTTGGAGGTCTTGGAAAAAGAAACCGAGACTTCCATTCATAATGAGGCCAGTCTAATGTAAGCTCCAGCCCATGACTCCAGAATATACACCCTGATGCAACTTGTCGCCGAAGCTTATGTTGTTTGGGGAAACCTGTGTGAACTTCCTTGCTGCTTTTTGTGTGTGTGTGTGTGTGTGTGATTTGGGTGCCAGAGAACAAATGCTGTGTTGTACAGACAAAAGAGGAGAAGAGATTCTTTCTTCCCCTTTTCATTGGTTTCTTTTATTTTAAAAAAAGAAAACCAGGTGGAAAGGTTCCAGCATGTCACATGTAAATAAATACTAATTTCTCTAATGGTATTAAAAATGCAATTGCCCTGGTCATGGACCCCCAACTGCTCCTGGGGTTAGTTTAGCTTATTCTGGAGTAGTTTATTCATGGCATAGAGGGGCAGTTGTACTGCATAAAACGGATATGCCTTCCCAGTCCTTCCCCCCAGAAGTTTGTAAATTGCATTTTTCAAGAAAGAGCAAACCTAGATTTCTGGAAAATTGTTTGGACGATAGCTCTGCAGCGCAATCCAATCCAGCTGTTCAACCTTCCTCTTAGCAATTTAAGTCTTGATTTCTTTACCATCCCTTTCGGTTTTGCCAAAGCTTTTTAGTCCACTGCCAGCCTCCAAACTGCCTTTCTCTGCCCCACAAGCAGAGGAAAATCATGAAGGCATTAAATAGGTAAGGAGCCCCTGCTTTAGACAGTGCCTGGAGGTATTTTGGAAACCAATAAGGTAAACTGAGGCAATGATTTGATCTTTGAGTAAGTCTTGAAGTGAGGCAAAGCATCTCAAGAAAAACAGACAGATCTGGGATGAAAGGAGTTTTCCAGTTAACAGAGTGGAGAGCTAATTTGATGGCCGGAGTACATGAATTGAATCTGGTTGAGGAGTTTGACCTAGTTTGAAAAAGTCAGGCCGAATGAAATTGATTTGGAAAGCCATTCTTATTTATTTTAGAGATATCCTACCTTTGGATCCTGGAAGGGTGTGGAAGCAGTTCAGGCCAGCCATTTTTTAATCCCCTCAATCAGAACGTCTTAATTCCTGAATTATTCCTGAATTGTTATTATTATTATTAGATGGTTTCCTTCCATAAGGAGGTGGCCCTAAGGTAGCAAAGAGATTACCCTGCCTCAAATTTTGGAGAAGTGCCGCTGGTATAAATTTAAATGAATCTGAATTCATCCTCTGGCTTTTGATTCAAAGCAATGCCCTGAGTCCTTAACACCTGGAAAGGTAGAAAGAGGAGGAAGTCACCCTCATATTGCATGGACTCCCAAGAGGAAAGTTGCCAGCGGTTGCTTCCTGTAAGAGGAGGGGGGAAAAAAATCTAACCCAACCGATGCACCTGGACATAAAGAGGAGCCAAAATGGCACCTCTACCTTTTCATGCTCTTAAGAGCCCACGAAGCAGCTTTGGATTCAAGGTTACAATTGCACCAGAATTGCCTCCTTGGCCAGAGAAGGGAGTCCCTGTTTGCAATTGGTATCTTTCAATATTCTGATGCAGGGTTTGAATTCTTCCTGCCTCCCCTTATCTGATGAGGAGACCGTGACAAAAAAATGCATGTTCTGATGAAGTTCTAAAATTCCGGTCGGCTTCCACCCAACCCTTCTTGGGCGCTGCTTCGCCTCCCCTACTCATCCAATGGATAGAATGCAATTTAAATTGTTAGAGAGGAAGGCTTAAGTACAAAACAGACCAGGGTTATCATTGCATCCTCTTTAAATATATGGAACTTAATTCTTCTGTAACATCAGCTTCTTTAACATGGCATTTGACCTCCCAACCGTACTGATAGATCAGTGTTTATTTCTATAGTTGGGACGTATACATATAGTTCTGGATGTTTTTATGCCAGTCTGTAGTCCTTTACCTTGTTCCCACCCCTTTTCCATATATTTCTCTTTAGATAACACAGATACGAGCCTCTCATTTCCAGGCAGAGATTGGTAGAATCAGACAGAACTGAAGCCAACTTCAGAAGAAAAGTTTTGTTTCTCTCTCTCCACCCTATGAAAGGAAGGTGACGTTTTTACACAAGAATCGTTGCTTCTGCTCACAGTCAGAAATGGTGGAAGGAAGGAAGCAGAATTGGTAGGTGTCAAGTTAACGAGGCCAAATTTTATTCTTGAGAAGTGGAGTTAGAGAACTCATCCTTATTCTCTCCGTGCTGGAAAAATTACCTACAAATGAATCTACGTCTCTCTCTTTTTTTTAATTTCCCCTGATGTTGGTCTTACAACAAGGGTCATCAGGACTTTCTGTTGCTCTTAATAGCATTTGGGATGGCTTTTGTTAACTTTCCATGCTTGTTTCTGTTAGACTCAAGGATCTTCAAACTTGGCAAGTGTAAGACTTGTGCACTTCAACTCCCAGAATTCCTCAGCTAACATGACTGGAGGAGGAATTCTGAGAGTTGAAGTCCACAAGTCTTAAAGCGGTCAAGTTTGAAGACCGCTGTGTTAGACCAACTCTCCTTGTCCTTCCTTAGCCATTGGCTAGAGTTGAGAGCACATGAAGAGTTTGAAGGCCATCAATGAGTGGGAAGAAGCACATTCCATTTCTACTTCCTCCTAATAGAGGTTGGTGGTGTGTTGTTTTGACAACGCAACACTGAAGAACTTTTCTTTCAAGCAAGGTCATCTTTCCTGGCAAAAGACTTTGTCCAGGACAAAGCAGTTGTGCATCACAGGTAACAATTGCATGCGTAGAGATTTATTTATTTTTGTCCACATCTCCACGCAATCCCATCATATCAGTGGATGCAACTTGTATACTGTTCTTATTCCACTCACCACCACTGAGGGGAGACAAAAGATTTGTAGATTTTTCCTGGAAACCGGACTGCCTGTTTGTGCAGCTTTTGTTGGGTTTTATATTCACACAGATGGAATATATGTGTGAACACACACACACAACACACACATGGTTGGGAGTCTACATTGCACAAATGAAAAATGGGTGTGTTATTTTCTGTCTCTTCCCCTAAAACAGAAAAAAAAACCTGTTACGATTGGGGAAATCCATGAGACCCCCTAAAACGGGTGTTTAGAGTGTGGCTAATGGGGCGACACACTCACACTGATAAATTTAGGGCAGCTGGTTGGTTCAAAATAGGTTAAATTTGTGGTGTATTTTTGTGTGAGTGTGTGTGTGAACTGGATTAAGTATTTGTTGTGTGGAATGATATTTTGAAAGGGGGGGCTTGTTTAGGTTAAAGGCCCTGTAGGTTTTGCCTTTTAAAGAAATATAAACATGGGGTTCCCTTGAGGTCACAGAAAATGACATAAATGCAACAGTAATGCAACACCCTATGAAATGCATGGATTAAAACATCTCTATGCCATTTACTTCAAAAATGAGTATTGTTAAGCATCTGGGCATTTTTTTAAACTGTGTTTGTATGCGTGTGTAGGTATGAATGTAATATTCTTTTTCTTAAAGATGCTATGCATTTTCTTCGTGATGGGATGTTGAAAGTGGATTAAACGTGTCCATTAATCCTATTAATATTACCCTTTCATATTTATTTTAGATGGCCTACTTTGTATTTTACAAAGGGAAGCTTCCGTCTTGAGAATTTAGTCTGTATTCTTAATATAATTTGTTGAATAAAAAAATTTAACCACTTCCTTTTATTCTTTTCTTTGAAGGCTGTGAATGTCTTTTGGCTCCCATTTCATTAGGAAAGGCGGCGTGTTGAAAATGTCAGTGAATATATTATATATTGTAGGACTTTGACGCTTTGTATATGTCTGGAAATCCTGAGACATCTTCTAAGCCATCAGCATAGTTCTTGAACTTTCTTCCTTCCTTCCTTCCTTCCTTCCTTCCTTCCTTCCTTCCTTCCTTCCTTA